TTGTGAACAGCACAAATGTCAGTGTGCTGACAGCCTGACTAGTGTGAAGACCATTACTACAAATTCACTGATGTATCTAAGCCGAAGAAAGACTTCTGAGTTCTTTTTCATCATCTTTCTCATCAGAATTATTTTTAAGGTTAAGATCTCATGACCTTCAAGGTCCCTATGTTTTATGCAGGAACTCTTGAATGTCCCAGATTGTTAATGCCTCACAAGTTCCATATAAGAACATTGCACAAGGAAAAGGGATCAAATCAGTTTACCTTTACATTACCTTTACAGTTTCTTTACATTGACTCTTTTGACTCTTCTTACTTCACCACCCAAGTGTCATCCCAGCATGAAGCTGACCACAGGAACTAGGCAGCAACTAACCATGTTTCAGGCTCAGCCAAGTTTCTTTATCAATATATCAATACTGAATCAGAGTTGAATGACACCTAATTGCAGCACACAGCATGACTGCAAAAGGCCTCAGGCACTCAGGGCAAAAAATTGCCTCTACTGAAGTCAAAGATCTTTGCAACTGCTTTCACGAGTCCCAGGGTTAAGAGCATTATGGTTTTCATAGTATTCTTAATTTCGGTCTGGAGCACAGACTCTTTCAGCCCCTGACATTTCAGATCAGGCTATGTAATAACCATCCTCCAAATAGTTACATTTACTCCTAAATGGTCCTGAATTTTAATAAACCTGTAGGTGTGAGAGGGCATAAAGATCTTGTCCTTGGCTAAACCCTTAACTGTGTGTTTGAGATTTCAACTAGTTTAAGACAGGATTTATCAGTATTACTATTTCTTTCAGTCATGCACTGAATCTCAGCACAGAAGCTTCTGTACGATTCACTGGAACTGAAGTAATGGCACTTACAGATAAACAATGAGAACAGGGGAAGATGAGTTGTAAAAAAAACCTGTCGTATGTTACATAGCACAGGCTCACATTTTCACATCCATCTAGGTAAATAGGAAGCCCACGGTTATTCTCTTGTGAAGCTTTAGGTTCTTAGAGCCTTGAAGCCTGAACTGTGCTGAAGTCAATTTTAAAAATGGAAATTCAGACACCTATGTTAATAAAAAGAACAGATTCTTTATAAAGTGGTTTAGGCTTCCAACTTCACATGTTTTCAGAGAGATTTGTGCAGCCAAACAATTTGGGTATCTGTGCTTCATATTCAGCCACAAAAATGTTGTAATCGTGAAGAAACCTTTTCAGATCTTGTGCCTCAGTGTTGGCCTTATGTTCATAAAATGACATTTATTTTTGCAAAAAATGAGAGAGATTAAGATAGAAATTCCCCAAGATGTTTTGAAGAGACTCTAAAAACTATGTGTTTACTGGGAGCAGAATGCAGAAGCAGGGGCTTCTGAGAAGCATGATTTCAGCTTTCAGGGAACATCGGGCCAATACTCTACTGTATCTTTGGGGATTAGAATAGAAGTGACTAAGGGCAGGTCCATTCAGTTATGGTATTCCTGGTAGAAGTGGAAGATAATGAGTGTGAGACATTAAATTTACCCATAGCATCCTTGCATTGATTCAGCATCTAAAAAGTCTTTTCATCTTTTAAAATACAGAGCCAATTGTAATATTCCAGTACTAAAATGACAGATGTAATTCTTCTAGTTATATTAACTTTATTTAGCTATTCTTAATTTTATATAACTTTATCTTAAAATAAAGATGTATACTTTTCAAATACAATATACCTTGACATGGCCAGTTCATTTTTTTTTTCATTTTAGATCATCGTATTTATACCATTTTCTTACTGACCTTTCACATCAGCTTTTACAGCAGCTTTCAAGAAGGTAACTGATTTCATGGTTCAGAGCAATGATGATCCTTCAGAACAAAGGTTTGAAGCCAGAGATAGTTGAAAAAATGCAGATAGCATAAAAATATAAATACATATATCCCTCCCACAAAAATACCATCTCTTTGGGTCAGAACAGAATAGTCATTCTTTAACACTTTGTATAGAATTTAAGAAAACATCCCTGAACCTATTTGTTTTTCTGAGTTCATACCCAGCCATTTCTCTGCAGGCTGATTTCACACTGTTATTCCAGTGAGTGACTGTGTCTTCCATGAAATTATCTGTTTCCTTGTGCTTTAGGCTTCCTCTTGGCCCTGGAGTGTTAGTGTAACACTAAATATGATGATACATTTTTCTTTTATAGTGCCCTCCATATTGGATGTATTGACAAGTAGATGTAAAGTGTCTTCCGTTTGCTAGCTCCTTTGTCAGCTGCTGTGGACATACCCTTGACTGGAAGCTTCCCTTGCCCAATCAGACTGCTGTGCCAGTATTTTCCTTGACCTATATATAATAAAACTGTTGTGCTGACATCCTGGGTACGTTGACTTGTTACTGACCAAGAGGGGGGTGGAACAGCAAGGCACAGAAAATCCACTATACATTCTAACATTTAGGCTTTATCCTTTATTAGGTAGTGAGTAAGAGACATAAAAAGAACTGTTTGTTGTTTACAGCTGAAATTTAAAAGAGACTTGTGTGAACAAAAACTTGTTCCATAGAGCACTGTGACAAAAGAGGTCCAAGAAAACTGAAGGTGTCATTGCAAGTTAGCTGACGTAAGTAGTTGGAATGACACACTCTATTTCTAGCAAAACTTGTATTAACTCTGCCCTTAGTACTGTGCCTCCATACATGCCACAGGCCACTTTTTGGCAAGGATCAGCCTGTTGATTTTGATGGCATCACAACAACATGGCAGGATGTACAGCAGGTGTCCGAGCACCAGAAGGCCGTGCATAAGAGCCTACAGGATATTTGTGGGTCTCCCCTTTTCCCATCTGCGTGGTTTTTTCATGGGGAAAAGATTGCCTGCCCGGACCTTCTCCCTTCCCAAAACGCCAGTCCTCCTCTGCTGGTTTAGCAAGATCTTACTTACACAGGCTCTGGAGATAAACGGTGGTTCACCGAGCACAGCTTGAAAACCGGTGCCCTATTCAAGGAGGAATCTGAACACAGCTGGCAATGGCACTACAACTTCGGCAAAAAGACGGAAGGTGAAAGCAGGCTTAAAAGACCGAGGCCAAGGTTTTGCAAAAAGGAGTTGAACCTTACTACACTATATTTATGTACCCAAATAAAAGGAAACCTTTTCTAAATTGAGCATTAGGCGCAGTTTTGAAGGCTGGCCTGTTTACTGCCTCTTTACTGGGAGCTGTAGAGTAGGGAGCCCTTTTAAATGTCAGCCCCTAGTTATTTAGGTGCCTAAACTTGGCTTCAGGAACTTACTCATATTCTTCTTGTTTTGGAAACTGGGCCAAAGCAATCCAGCTTGTAACCAGCCCTAAAACCACCATCGCATCTTTTTCATGGCTACATAGGAGTGAATTAAATATAACCAAAACCCCATTTCATTTCAAGGCACAAACGTTTGCAAATAAACTGGATGAAATACAAATACATAGTATAGAACTTATTTTAATACTTATAGATAAATAAATGTATCTCTTTGGAATTCTTTGGACACAGACATCCATGGAACCTCTTCTTTCTCTCTTTTTATATATTTTTTTTTTTATAAAATCTAAATGCAGAGAGGTTTAAAAAATGGCAAATACCAATGCATATGGAAGGCTCACTGATGAACTGCAAGTCAAAAGTGCTGTATATTCCCATCCTCTATATCTCCCTACTGTCCATATTAACCACAGGCAGTATTATATAGCAACCACATGGTCAATATTTTGCATTACTACCTTGTAATAAAATCTTTCAAATAATTTCCCCATCTAAACTTAAATTATGTTTTAAAATTTTATTCCTCCTAAATGTATGGTAGGCATTTCATTTAGCTACTCATCAGAGTGGTCGCATGTGACTCAGCAGCGCACTCCATAATATTAATAGATACTTTTCAGCTCCCTATGGGAAAAAGCAGGTAGCAAGAATCAGATTCAATAAGTCTATTTTTTTCTCTGCTGTTTGTTACTTACCACTTAATGACCCACATGTGAAACTCAATGGTTATATAATTATTTCATATAGTAGATTTTCTGTTTATAAGTTATTTTTCTTACTCTAACATATATACAATATATCTATATATACCCCTGATAAATCTTACTTTAAAGGGACACAGTCAACCCCTTTAAGCCTCACAGTAAATATATAAGGCTTTAAGCTGTCCATACATAAAGGTCAGCTACAGAATTCAAGGGTCCCTTCAGATCCTAAAGGTTGTATTTGTTCCAAACCCACGATGTGCAGTTATCTTGTAATATGTATCTCATGTGTTGCTGTTTACATTTTATAGGTATATCAAGATATTTTATATCACATCAGTAGGAAATAAAACAAGAGAACAAATCTGTTTCTAAGACTAAGCCTATTGCAAAAAATATTACCTGTATCTACAGACACTCCCACTGGTGTGATATAAAAAGAATATGTGCCATTCTTGGGATGAAATTCTGGCTACATTGCGGTCAGGAGGAACTTTTACTGACTTAAATGGGGCCAGGATTTCTCTCCTGCTTTTTACTTGCTAGTTATGACTATGCGTAACCCATTTGTGTCTTTCCTCTGCTCAACACTAAAGTGTCAGGCCTGTTTCATGACAAAAGTGTATTTTTTGCTGTCCACTGGCATGCCTTAGACATTGATTTATCCTGTATGTATTACACCTTTTGAATATACACACACTGTACACATACGTTCTCAGTTAAATAAAAGTTTGACCTATTCTGTGTACAGCATCTGGATTTTTTTTTCCCCCACTAAATCTTCTTTTATCATTTACTTTGTCTAACCATAGATTACCTTCACGCCCCTTCTTCTATGGGTGAGGAAAACAACTTTTGCTCACCAGGAACAGCTCCACATTATTGTCGTCATTTTGGACTACTTACCAAAGTGACATAATTTGTTCATTTTATCTTTTGCAAGTCAGTTAGAAACCTAGTGGCATAGATAGAGACACAATACTACTGTTTTACAAGACATCTATTTTATCTACTTTTGTTCAGATAAATACCCAGTAACTGCTGATTTGGCAGGAGGATTGGTAAGGGTACTACTATTCACAGTGTTTCTTTTTTTTCCTTCTTCTTTAATCTACAGAATAAAGTATTTTATGTACATTGGAACCAGTTAATGCCCATTAGACAAATTTGTAAGTTGTTTCATAAAGCAGGAAAGACATTGCAGGGAAATATGTGCCAAAAAGCACAGTCAAAAGGCTTCATAAGTTTTATATGTCACTACAAGTCAATGCTGGAGATCAGTTCTAAAACGACCAATACTCAAGAGGAATGTTCTCATCTGGAGAAAATACTGCCCATTCCCCCTTTTAGAATTTGTTCAGTTCTCTATCAAAAGTCCTGGCTCTTCATATATACTTTAAACTATAAATAAACACTGCATAGTTCAATGTTCTTGATTTTCTTTTTTGTTTGTTTGTTTTGATTTGAAAAATTATTGCAGTACAATTAATTCCTGTTTGGAGTTCAGTAAGGAGCAAACAGCACGGGAGTATGGGTGGTCCGTATAGGCCCTGGAGCTGGTCGTAGGAGTGCTGGAGGAAGTGCTGAAGTCTGGAAAAGGGTGGCTGCTGGGGCTGTTCGAAGACTGAAGGGGGAATTCACAGCCACAGCAGCAGCTGCTGCTGCAGCTGCTAGCGGATTTGGTAAGATTCGTGGAGCCATCGGCTTTGAAGGTTCCTTTGAAAATACTAATTTTACCTGTGGGGAAGAGAGAAAACAAACAAACAGAGAGACATCATTTGTTCATATTAGCTACACGACAGGGAATTTGACTTAAGATTATAAGTGCAAAATCAAGTCAGAGAGGCCTTGTAGCGGCTACTGACTCTACGAGCTGCAGGCTTGTGACAGGAGATACGATCTCGTGCATCGGACAAGGGTGAGCAGGTTTTGGTTGGAGACAAAGAGTTTCAATGTTCATTCCTCATCACTGAGACTTATAATTTAATATGAGATTAGAAATCAAAGCAAACCTAAAAAGGGGCTGGGCAATCTGCACCAAAGGAAAGCTGCCTGTACCCTGCAAGAATTAAATAAAGAAGAATTAGCCATCAATTAAAAGACCTCCATCTGGACAGCTTTATGATAGAGACCAGAGCAGAATGAAAACATAGCCTGTTCCCTGGTCTGGCTAAGAAGGTACTTCCGGTTTTATCATTAGGATGCAAGTTCTACTTAAAATTAAGATCTCCAGCTAGCTCCTCTTTATTAGCTCCTGCCTCTAATAACCAGCAAATAAAGCTTATCTTCCACTGGTATGAAAATCTCCTAATGTTTCATATGTTCAAAGAGGTGATGAATTCTATGGGTGCTGCCCTATGTCATCTTGCTGTGTCTTCTAATGTTTTTCACTAAGGTACTGTTCATTCTTACAAGGATTGTGAAAAAAGTGGCAGATATTTTAAAATGTTGTCATGAAAAACTCTTGCCTATATCATTTAGTATGGTGCCAAACCATGGTATTTTTGTTACTGTCACTGAGGCTTCTGCTTTAAAAACGTTTAAATCATGAGTCTTGTGCACCACCAAATAGAATTTGAAAAACTCCTCATTTAGAGTTTCCAAAAATAAAAAAAATAAACTCAAGCTTTTCCCAGACTGATTGAAAATACTGTCAGAGGTCCATTATTATTTAAGAGAATTTACATTTGGTATGCATACAAATGAACATCAGAGTAGTCTACATAGATTTCTGCAGATTTCGATGGGATTTCAAGTTTCTAATGAGAAGCCAGGAGCCTGAATACCTTTGTTGTTCTGGTTTTATAATTCTGAGATAAGAATAGAAACCTCATCTACTGACAAAGAAAAGTTCCCATTGGCTCTGACAGACTTTCGGTGGGTCTGTGTCCTGGCATGACCTGAGGCCCTTTGCAAATAACATAAACCTGAATATGTGGTATTGAATATACAGAATATGAATATATGTACCATGCTGTGGTACATCTCAGTGCAAGTATGGACACTCCTCACTCACAGGGAAACACAATTTCTCATCCTTGAATTGAAAGGGTCTTTCAAATAATTAACTTGCATTATATCAGTCTGATACTTTCCACTCAACAGTACCTTGGTGAGTGAATAGTCAGAAAGTAAGGACAGGAATAGTCTGGCATGAACCACCAGTGAGTTTCATCATTACACTATTACCATATTCTAAAAAATCTGTTGGTTCTTTACCAGCCAGATGGATACAGGATTTTGACTTTTCCTAATACTCATTGGCAACTCTGCTGGCCTCAAGGTCCTTTGAAGCTCTGGGAGAGATACTCAGAGGGGACCAGATTCTGTAACTCTCTTAACGGAGGACATAATGGATGCTATATACAAAATTCCTCATGGTGCCTATGAAAAGCAATGATCTGATCTTTCCCTTGATCAGTGTTACACCCACAGATCCAAGCTGTCTTCTTCCCTTGCTAAGCATTTGACTTTTTCCTCCTTCCTTACATTTTTTAGTAAATAGTTTTTTTCAGCCTTGTTTATAACAGACAAGAAAAAAAGCTCTTAACAAAAAAAATCCTGAGTACAAAGTACAAAAAAAACCCCAGCCCAAAACAACAGGGCTGTGATTGTGGTCTAGAATTCCCAGTGAAGGATGTTTTTCATAAGAGCTATTTCACTGCAGGAAGTTTGAACTATCAAACGCCTGATAACCTCTTTCTCTCCAGTATTTTATACATGCTGGACATTTGTGGCTTGAAGAAATATGAAGTAAGTCCCAACAATACAAGATTTCTTAAACTCTGAAATAGTACTGTGGGAATTCATAAAGCTTCTTTCTCTGAAGCATGCAAAACTAGATTAGACAAAGCAGTACAAATGATATTGAAAACATGGCACTGGAAAGTTTTCGGTCTAGAAAAGCTATGAAAATGTAGTATGTCCTTTTTCTAACTTCTGTGGAAAAAAAATTTGGTGATGCTTATACATTTTTTGTCACAAAGAACAAAGATCTTTTATGACTATTTATATTAAAAGGCTAGGACTATCTTGCCATTCTTGGAGGAATCAGGAACTTGTAATAAAGTTAGATAGCTTTTCAGTTAATTTATCAACATGGTTCTGGTTTCAAGATAGCTGCAAAACCAATAATATTTAGCATATACAGTACCTTGCACCTTCATTTCAAACCTCTCTGCAAGCACTAATTAACACACAGGTCAACATTAAGAGTAAAGCAGCCATTATTAATTTCATTTCCAATGAAGTAAACTACGGGACAGTAAATGACTCGAAAAATTAACGGGGAGTAAAGAAAAAGCTAGAGCTCATCAAAAACATTTACATTCAAAGTGAAATTAGTACATCTTTGGTACATGTTGCTATGCCATTCTGCATTTCAAGTGACAGCAATTTCGGTATTTTTTCTATTCAAGAAAAGACTAAATGGAGAACTGCTCTCATCCTTTCTCAGTGCAGCCTCCATTCTACTACACATATCTGTTCATTTGTAGCTAATTCATTCTCTCCTTCTTAAATCCCCTTTGCTTCTTTGCTAACCTCTGGCCTGTCTTGTATACTGTGAGCAATTGGGAGTAAGGGAGCAGGAAAAGGACACGTTGCCTTTATTTGTCCACGCAGCAACTAAATGGCCTTGATCCTTGGCTGGAGTTCTCAGAAATCGCCATTACATAAATTGGCAAATAGAGAACTGTGCACAACAGCAACAGTAATGTAATAGTTATTTTCATCCCCTGGGAAACAATGACTTTCCTAAAGGAATAATAATTCTGTCAGAGAGGCTTTAGTGATTCCATATCCTACTTAGCTAATTACGTATTTTCTATTCCTCTCAGTATAGCTTGTATGTATTGGAGACCTTGGTCTTCCTGGTGGATTACTGAAAAGCCCTATGGGGCTATTTCCTTACTAGTGAATCTACCAGAATGGTGCCCTGCATTATGCTACAACATCTGGGAAAGCTCCTACCCAACTGAATCGTGCATGAATATACCTATCATGAGGGCTGCTCCAACAAGAAAGGAGCTTTAACTCAACTTAAAGAGAACTGGGTTTTCACAGAAAAAAGCTCCATATTCTGCCTGCATTAGAGAAGATGGTCAAGAAATAAGAGGCTAATCTCTATGGGGCTAACGAATCAACATCCTCCGCCTGCCAAAACCATCTATAAACCCTTAAAAAACACCACGGCATATAAAACAATCATGCAGTTTATCTGATAGAGATAAATGTCAGATATTTCACTATCCCACCCACAATATAAGCTGTTTCTTAACTAATGACAGGATCCTAGCAGGGTTTTTTATTAAAAAGTAAACCTTTTTCTCAGCTTTTGAAGCCAGTAAGAACTGCGTTTTTTATTAAAAAGTAAACCTTTTTCTCTTTTGAAGCCAGTAAGAACTGTGTTTCAGATAGTTTATCCTGGCAGTCGAAAATGTGACCAGAACCATCCTGAAACTGAGTGGAATGAAATGAGAGATGGATTTTTTTAATTGTTTCAATTGTTATCTCAATAATTTTCTAAATAAGGATAGAATAAAGGTTTTATGTTTTATAGAGTTTTATTTAGTCATTCCATCACTGTTGTCCTTGGTGAAAACTGGAAAAATCCTGTTTGACATCTGGATGTTTCTTTCGTCTGTTGCTCTCTAATGACCTTTGAAACAAGCTTCTTTTCAGAGGTTATTCAGAGTAGCTACAAAAAATGAGGACCCACAGGTTGTAGTCCACACCCAACAAAGTATATAAAAAGTCCCTTGTGGGCTTCCGTGGGTTCATTCAGACACTTGTATACTCCCATTGCTTACACTATTCCTCTCATTTTAAACATTTTTCCACTTACATTTTCTAAAAACCCTACTCAGCAGAGTTAAAATAAAAATAAAATAAAAAGGTGATTGGCTTACCCCTAGAGGATGTGTTCCCTTTTGGAGTTTGTTGTAAGGGCTGTATTTAGGTTTAGGCGGCTTCCCAGCAGCTCTGTCTTTGTGCCTTCTACTGCTTATGTGCTGTTAAAATACATTGGGGCGGGGGGGGAAAGGAAGAGTGATATTTCCTTAATAGATCATTTCAGGTTCTGCTTTACACAAGGGTGCGCCAGTACTGAAGGTTACTGGTCTCCACAACAGCATTACTTTAACTAATTCAATAACGAATGGGAGTAGGGTCTGTTCCAATTTGAACGATCCTTTGTGCATCACATATTGGGTCTCTGATTTTCCACAGTGCTCAGTTCAACTCTGCTTCCACTGTAATCAATGATTTTCTCACCTTTCTTAACTTCAACAGGACCTGAATCAGGCCAAAGACAGAAGCCTTTGAAAAATTCCTCCCTATCTCTATAAAGTACCCATCAAATTCAATCCACTGCTGATAGAAAGTTTTGGAAGAATATTAGATAGAAGAGCATCCCCTATTTGGGGTTGGGGGAAGGGGAGGGGAAGGTCACAACATCGTTCAGATCCCTAAGAAGCCTAGACATCCTTTTAAGAATTCAGCTGAAAGATGGTTACATATCAAACTAAGTGACAGTGAAAAAAACCCACAAAATCCATTATCTTCTTCATAAAATCTATGAGATTTTACAAGAATCCTTCTACACAGACTTTACTGCAGTATTAGATGTAAGGGACCTTTTTCAGAACTATATTTTTACTTTGATTTTCATTCTCAAGAGTGTTCTCGCAAACAAAGACAAAGAACTGGACATTTTTTTTTTCCTGAAAGCAGAAGACAAGTATTGCTATTGTCCATTACAGAATTTATCTTCATTCTCATAAAGTTCCTTAACAAGTATTTAATTCCAAAAGGCATATGGAATTAAACTAATTGTTTTTCAGAACAAAGGCTTTGTTCATCTGAAAAATGACTGAACATAATGGCTGACTTAGTGTAATTGCAATTTAGAGGTCATGCTTCTCAGTTACAGAGTAACACTGATAAAAAATATTACAAATCCTCTCCATCCCACATTTCTAAGCAGGTTATTCAGTGTTTTGTGAAAATACTGGCTGCACCCACCTCCACATCTTTGTCAAGGCAAATATCATGCAGTACACAATGGCAGGGTTTATTAGCTCATGCCAATTAGAGTAATCTAAAGACAGTTGCAACATGTTGCAGCTTACAGCTTCTATAACTCTTTAAGACATACATGTAATCAAGAGCTTTGGAGAAAAATATATTCTGTGCAAGGGAAAATCATATCCAAAACAAAACATACAGCGTGAAAGACAAGTACAAAGGGCAAAATCCGTAAGCTCCATTTGGATGTGAACTGTTAGACTGACACATGCTGATCGTGTTGGTATTTTATCACCATGAAAACAAAGAACAGCCAAGGATTCACACTCTGCAAACTAGCTGAGTACCTGTTTCAGTTGTGTCTCAGAGTTTACGTGCACATCACATATTTCACAGTGAAATGTTTTGTTCTGAAGGCCTGTGTTTCCTTTATTCACAGGTCCTTTGCCTTTTACGCCTGCCCGGGGAAAGGCTTTTATGGTTCCACTTCCATTCCGAGCTTCCAGCATAGTTTTGTGCTTAGTCCCTGGAGACATTAGAAATGGGAAACAGAAACAACTTTGGCAATTTGGTTGCATTCATTGTTTTATTTTCTTTTTAAAAGAAAATCATATGAACCTCAGCTTGGTGCCACGTGCTATCCTTGGAATATGCCTGTGTTTGTCTATATCAGATTCATACCAATGTAACAGTATTTCGCATCTGATATTTAATTATTAAATTACACATCCGTAGGTAATGCACTAGAACAAAGCAGCCACACCAGTAAGTAGTAGCACAATCAGGTATCCTGATGTGAAGTTAAATGGGTGTGACTTTTCTCATTAACTCCTGCTACTAATAAGACCTGAATTGTAGTTGCAAAGAAAGAGTAATTTAGCTATTAAAGATGTAGTTGGCTTTGATTTGCAGTCCTCCTGAATGGATTGATAAACAGTATGTATTAGGTAGCTTACACTTAAATCTGTAATTAACTCATTAGTCTCCAAATCAAAAAGGGGCAGAGGTTCCTGGCAGCAGCCTATGGATCCTTAATGGCCTGGACAGAAGCCAAAATGTGTGAGAAACATACATGTGAGAAAAATGCACTTGCATTTTTTATTAAAATGAAGATTGGATAGAAAACAATAGTGTCCTGTTGCTTTACCTTTATTCAGACCGAACAATTTCTTACACTGTTGACTTCCGCGCAGGTAGTCTGTGATGATAATGGACTACTGCCGTGTACAGAATTAGTGTTCCACTGATAGTTGTTGTATGCATCCACATGTATACTTTTACAAGCATGCATGTGTGTGAGCACACACACACAGTTTATCAGCATAGACAGCATAGACAGTGGAGGGTTGTGTTTAAATATTCAGAATAATGTCTTGGCTCTTACCTTGATCAGAAAAATGTTTAGAGTTTAACCCTCATATAAAGTTAAATAGGTTAAATGGGTACAGCTTTATGAAGTTGAATTTTTACCAGTTGAAGACGTGGCATACAGCAAAGACAGCATTCAAAACTGATTAGGCTTTGTTTCTCATGAATACCAACAAATTATCATTTACTTTTTAATTTAAGTGGATTCTATAGACATGCCAAAGTTATTTCTTTTTTTATTACACCATAAAAAAATTGATCATTTTGCTGCAGGTATATTATCATGGTCTCTATGTTCCAAACCTAAGGTTCTCTGTCTCTTAACTCTGTTTACTCTGCTGGCAGATAACCCCTGACATCCAAAATCAGGAGTTTTTCTGCTGTAGGCATTCATTGCCACCATATTAAATCCCAAGATCTTTTAACCCTGCTCACCACAAAGCCAATCAATAAGGTGCTTAAAATAGTGACTGTGAATGATGGCTCTCTACTACTGGAACTTACAGCTCTAAGAACAAGAAAAAGTTTAAAAATTAAGAAAGATGGAGGTAAGCAATTACCCATTCAATTCTCATGCAGCTGTTGCTATCAGTTGATGAAAAGAAAGGGAAAATATTCATAATTTTGACAAGTTATTAACAGACAATATGGAGCTAAGAATTCTAATTCTTGTCATTGAACTCTGACTGACTGACACTCCCTCTTTCAGCCTTAATTTGTTAGATTTCAAACAAAACTCATGGCATTCATACTCAGTTTGCTAGCTGGCACAAACAAAACTATGCAAACTCTGAACACCAAAGGTAATGAAGCATGAGCTGTCATTTAGCTCTATAAGGTTTGGAAGCTGCAAAAGCTAAAATGTAAGAAAATGGGTAACTTGCATGCAATAAAATTCCTTTTTTCCCCCTTTATGAAAGCCTCTTTGCCTGCCATTTTTATTCTTTAATAGTTAATGAATTCCATGTAATTGCCAGTTTTCTGCCACCTCTTTGTCCCCTGCTGCAAGAGATCTAATCTATTCAGGGGAAGATAATTGCAGAGCTCTTGAGACAGAAGGAAAAAAAGGAAGAAAGCAAGCACTGCTCCATCTCACCACTGTTGTGCGCCTCCAGCTGCGAGGCAGAGTTGACAGCGACTTTGCATAGTGAACAGTACAGCAGTCTTTTTGCTTTTTCTTCCTCAGTCTCAACGGAAGGGCATGTGGTGCTGCTAGTGGCTGTCGTGGGGATTTTCTCCACTTTAGAGGTGATCTCAGTTGTCATAACACTGCTCTTCCGGATTTCCACGGTTGTCGTTGTTGATATTGCTGGTGTCCCTGTGGTAACGTCTGTGGGCAAAGAGAGGAGATGGAAGGAAACAAAAAAAAAGTTGTGACCTTTGGCATTTGCTTGTTTGCATCCTAATGCTGTAACCACACAGAGGGCCAGGTTGTGCTGGTGATGATGCTGGTTTGACTAATGGTAATGAACTAAATCTGACCTTATTCTTTGTATTTTGTGTGGTTACAAAATATAGTACTCCCATGTATCGAAATGCCATGTATTCTGTCTCCTGCATTCTGCTAACACCCAGTAAATGCAGAATTCATAAACTGAAAAGACAGGTCATTAAGACTGCACTGTACAACTGAATGTAATCCACTAAAAGACGTCATGTAAATTACCAGTACAATAGGCCGTTAAAATTTATACGCAGCACTTCAGATGCATAAACCACATAATACTTACGCTGATTAAGTAGCCAAGCTAAAGTTTTAACATTCTGTAGTAATAAAACTAAAATGAGAATAATTGTATGTTCTTGATATCTGATAAAATAAAATGTTAGATACTTCACTTGATATTAGCCAAAACTAATATTAAATGAATGAAGGTAATTATTAATACACAGTATACATTTATCCATGCATTATTATTACTCATCATAGCATACTAACAATACATACTAATAATAGTAATTAAATATACAACATTCTATATCTGAGACCTACACAAACACTAATAAGGTTTCTGTTCTGTATATCAGTGGTATGTTTGGAAAAACTGTAAGTATGTTATATAGCTAAATCTATTTGGAAACCTAGTGCTTGCATCTAAGATGTAGTTTTCAAACCCAAGAGAGAGAAAATATACAATGATATTGTGGTTTGAATAATATATACATGACATTTGGATATGGCAGTATCATTTGGTAGTTAAGTACTTAGCAGGGTAGAGGACAGTAAGATCCAGCACCAAGCCAGTGGAGAAGACTGCAAGTAAGGAGAGAAGAGACAGGAGCTGTTCTGCTGTTGCAGTGTTGTATTTTGTCATATTAAGCCTACTGAGTAGCAGCTTCCCCTGTAAGAAATCTTAGTTACTTTACTGAGATACTCCTGGAATTGGGTACTTTCCAACATAGCTCATTTTGGTTTCATACATCCCTTGGTGTTAGTGGTGTTCTACCTGCACTATGCTTTATTCATTGCCATCTATTAGAATAGGCAAAATAACAATTCTTTGGCTTATAGATCTCAGTACGTGCTGTGATGAAAGAAGAACACAACTAACAGATGCTGCAGAGGTGTGTTTCAGACTAATACTGTTCAACAACTTCATTAATGACGAACACGCCTATTAACTTAGAAAACAAAAGCAAACTGGGTGCAAGCGCAAACACGCTGGGATACATGATTCAAAACAATTTTAACGCATTGGAGAAACAGTCTAGAAAATTAGACGCTTTTCAGTAAAGGCAATTGCAGGAATTCACACTCAGTAGGATTAATCTGATCTATTAAAACAGGATAAAGAACAGCTCCAGTACTGCTTTTGGGTTTTTTGTTTGTTTGTTTGATTGATTGATTTTGGGATGGTTGGTTGGTTTGGTTTTTTTTTTTTTTTCAGAAAAAGCTTTCAGTAGCAGATAACAAGATGAACACAGATCTCTTACATCATCGTATTATGAAAAAGGTCCCCACCATATTGAAAGTGCAAAGTGAAAGATTTATGAAGTATTTTTTTCTCCTCTAATCAGCACTGGAGGCCCTGTGTCCAGCCTGGGGACGGCAATGTCAAAAATTAACAATTACTTGCTTTGTTGTTAATCCAGCAGCAATACAAACGCAAACTAACAAGAGAGGGGTTGCGGGGGAGGAAGCCAAAACAAATGAGAGGTTTAGAAAATATGGACTGTGAATACAGAAGATGAAGAGTAAACACTGACAACATTTTTCATATCTGTAGAAGGTAGCTAAAAATAAGAGCATAAACTCTTCTCCCTGATCCCTCCTAATAGGACAAAGACCTTTGGATTAGAGCAAGAGAGACTTAGATTAGACATCAGGAAATTTTTCTAACATTAAAGCTTGTAAAGCCAGAGAATAGCCCACCTACAGAGATCCGGAAACACTGCCTACTGGAGGACTCGGCTGAACAAGTATCTGCAGGAGCAACCCAGGTATGGTCCCTTTCAGTCGGTGGGAATAGGACCCTTCAAGCCCTATTAATTTCTATACATTGTGTATTTTGTAATGTTTCTAGATACTCTCCCAGGGGGGTTTTAAAAATTATTATTCATAAAACCAAGAAAGCAGAGTTTGTCATGTGAATATTCTACACATTACCAGGCATTAAAGCATATAGCAAAAATCAGGTCCCACTCAAGGTCTAACTGAAGTGTTTTTTTTTCCTGAGAGTGAGTCTGGAGGTGATTATATCCTGAAGGTACTGGGGATGTCAAATACTGGTGCAGAAGGAATGGTGTTACCTTGCCGAACATTCTGTTCTTATTTAGTATTTTTTACAGACCAACAATAATGTTTCAAAAGAAAAATACTATTTTGAAATATTAAGCCTTTTGTTGGGAAACTGAGTGAAGCCTTTGTAGATCTGTCCACAAAATTATACATTTAACTAGTCACTCCTTTCCCATCCCAGAGAATCTGTGTCGATGTTGACTTTCCTTTGGTTAAAAGTTGCTGCAGTGAAATTAATTTTCCTGAAAAGCCTGCTCCCAGCAGTACATAGCACAGCTTTTAAAACTTCAGTTTCTCCATCCTGGTACTACCATACAGTAGCAAGCCTAGCCAATGTACTTTTCTGGTGAAAAAGAAGGCAGAGGGCAGATGGCACCAGGGAGAGGGAAAGAAAATAAAAAGACGACATTAACATTCTCTCAAGATTGATGGCAAGGTTGGCGCTCATTCTAATCTTGCAGGAAATTAGATATGTACATCAATCACCATTACTAGCTTTGCAGTGCAAGGGTCAGTATTTTGCCCTAAGCAAAATATAGATCATCATTTCTTTATTTTCCATAGGAAAACCTGAGGCAATGAACAAAAAACAAAAAAAGCTTAAATAATTGGAGATTTTATTCTGCTTCAAATATCTGATCTCCTATATCTATGTTGATCTAACATTTCACCATGTAATTATTTTAAAGTGAAAAGAAAATACAATCAATTATGTTAGTCCCTTTGAGGGTATTTTGATATGCAGGCATGAAAGCAGCATTGTATATAAAAATTAAACTAAAAATGGTAAATGTCATCAGGATATTCAACTAAAAAAAAAAATCAAAGTTCAGTGCATATATTCTGCACTTTCAAAAGGTGCCCTATATTAATACATTATATATTCCACTAATACAAATGCATCAGTGACATCAAAACATATAAAAGAAAACACCATCCAAGTTCACCCTGTAAAAGCCATGACACATTTAAAGATGCAAAGCCGCTCCTCCTCATATAAACTTTAGAATTATCTGCAGGAATTAAGGAGAAAACATTCTAAAACCTGTCAAGTAAGCTTACAAAGAGGGAATTCAAATCCTCTTCTCATCAGAACTTCTAACCTAACCAGCATGTGTCTCTTTGAATATATTACAGTATTGCTGCCTTTACACAGTTTAGTGCCCTAAATACAGGGTACGGCATTAAAGGTATAAGGGATTAAAAAAACCAATCCACCAAAAAGGAGTAGGAAGGCATTTGAATTGATGCCTTGAAGATTGAATCAGCATTTCTTAACATTATATTATGACAGTGCTTTAAGAACTATTTCAATAATAAATGATCTAAAATCGAGCTAGAAATTCAGTCACAGTCAATGGCAGATTTGTTTCTGGTGACGCAGGCTTGCAGCACTGTGCTATTTTCATACCAGTGGCCTGCAGCAAATATTCATTATTGCAACTGTCACTGCTTGGCTTTGACATAGAAGCTGATTGGTAATATTGTATGGAACTGGACTCCAGCAGCAAAAAAAGGGAACACTTCAGGATTCACAATAATCCATTTGTGTTCCTGGTTTTAATATAGCAACAGAATAAAAATTAAAAATACAAAAAAATAACATTAAAATTAATCTTGGTCACTGGCAAAATCAAAGATTTACTTTAACATGAAGACAAAGCCAGATGAAAAACATTGTGTGAGAATTGACTCCTTTGGGTACTACAGATACCATAGTTCAAGAGGAAAACTGCAAGTGTGTGATTAAGGTCCTCCTAAGTAAGCGGGATTATTTTTATATCCCAGCTACAAGACTCCTGAATTTTCTTTAGGCTGAAGAAACAGAAAATTACAACTCATGTTCTTCTTCTGAGTATGAGAAAGTCTCACTCATCAGTTCCTGCTACTAAGCATAAGAATTTCTTATCCTGAAACTATAAATAGACCCACAGCGGGAAAAGCGCTCTGACTTCAAACAAATCACAACTATTTATGAGCGTGTTTTTTCTTCCGCAATCTCAAGTGGCATGCATTTAAAGATATCTGATTTAGCACATACCCATGCATTCTGGTCTCATTTAAATCAAACTTTGCCTTTGACGTAAAAGGATTGAGCATTTGGCCCATAATGCTGTCCAGGAAAAACCAAAAAAACCCAAACACCTCCCCCTCCCCCCACCCCGAAACTAGAAAGCACATTCTTTCTGGTGACAAACAGAACTTGATATGAAATATTTCACTATACTATAAGACCTCTTAGTATTGCAAAAACGTTGTCAGCTGGCTCACTTATAGCAAACCCGCATCAAGTAACAGAATGCTCCCATACGGGTGCTTGATACTAGCATGTTCAAAAAAGTCTCGGCATATTATTTTCTTGCCTACTAAGAACCAGGTCCTCAGTTTCCTTGGGGTGCTTTCAAAATCCCATGCTCCGTGTCCTCCTGGTAATTACATTTGAAGATAAGATGCAATTTCTTTTGAATGTGTAAATATAACAGTGGAGTATATCAAAACCAAAGTACCATCCCAAAAATAACTGCGACTGACTTTTTTTCGTGCTTGGCTGACTTTCTGTACTCATATGCTAAAACATAAGCATGTGTGCT